AAAAAAAAAGATTTCTACATCAAAAATTCTGGATATCTTGTAAGCCATGTGAAAAAAAAAAAAAACAGGTACATTAGGTGATCTAAGGCTGAACTGTTGGAGTTGTTAGAAATAATTTTACATGTCTTAAAAAAAGAAAATGAGACACCCGGCTGGCTCAGTCAGTAGAGTGTGCAACTCTTGATCTCGGGGTTGTGAGTTCGAGTCCCATACTGGGTGTAGAGATTACTTAAAAAATAGAATCTTTAAAAAAAAATAATTTTACATGAGGTTTTTCATAAATGTCTCATTTATTTCAGCCAAGATCTCAAAAACAATAAACCAAATTATATCAGAAAGTGTCGGCAAAAATTAACCCTATCTTAGGAAATCTGCAAGATTCCAAAGTGTCTGGTTGTCAGTGTAGCTTTGTGTGTAGAAGCACATCATTCGGCCGGGGGGTACCCTGGGAGTGAACATCCAGATGCGGGACAAGGGAAGACTCCAACTCTAGGATCTTGAGCCGCATTAAGATAGGGTCACCGCTCGGGTCAGAAAACGCAGAGGTCAATTCCAGAGATGAAACTGTTAAAGAACGGTCTGAGGTACGGCCTCACCATAGGGTTAGAATTCTAGGAAGATCTGATCTCTGAATTCTAAAGAGTTATCATTTGGTTAAGCAGCTGGACTAAAATGAAGGCCTACAGAAGGGCTACACCACAAGTTGGTCAGAAATGCAAAGCACCCACATTCCACGTCCTTATGCGTCACAGATGTGGTCAGCTGTGAGCACACCAACTTCAGCTCTTCTTCCCAGCCATCTTCATCACCACTGCAGCCAGAACCCTACGGTAAGGACCAAATGAAGACCAAGCAGTAGCAAGGGTTTAAATTAGTCTTCTTCTATTGCCATTTATCATCAAATGGATACAAACAGATTAATCTGCCAATGGAAAAACCATGAAAAACTGATAAATAGCTACAATTTTTTCCCCATGACTTTATCACTGAACTACAGGTCACCTGCCTTGAAATAAGGCAAGAGTTTAAAGAAATGAGGACTTACGTACCCATGACATTTAAAAATACGATCTGGAAAACTGTCACTGAGACTGAGAAGTAATCATGTCTGCCCATGGCCTACCCATGCTGCTCTACAGTATGTACTATAATCATTTGCTCTCAGCGGATGAACAATACATGTATATGACAAGCCCCAACGTACCATGTTTTCCCTGCTCACGTGAATAAAATTACATGCACTATATTCTACCTTCCCCCCAACCCCGATGTTCAATTTATAGAGAATCGGGAGTGTCCATGCAACTTTTCGAGTGTTACAGGAAGATTCGGAGCCAAAGACTAGTTCAGAAGCCTTTACCTAATGTTTAGCACTTACATGGAGATGCTTTGGGGATATTCATTTTTCGGTCACAGACCTTTATTTTTAAACCAATTTTAAGTACCCAAAGATTGAAGTTCAACAGAACAAAACAAAAGGAGAACACCAACAGCTAGGGCTGTCTCTATGCTGCTAATTTTAGCAGCCAAAGGGCATTCCTACCAAATGTCAAAGAAAGGACGTCTCTGGACTAGAGACAAGGCAAAGGGCCTTACTGTTTGTTGGTGGCTTTCTTGGAGAAACCCATCTATGATTTCCCCCATTTAATGGGCCTCTGGTTTTAACTGGCAAAGCATCCCTTTGCCTAGAGGAGAAGCCTAGTAATAAATACTTAATTAGAGTATATTATCTAAGATAGCTTACTATCATCCCAGAAAGTCTTAGTAAATATAAAAGTGAACTACTTATTAGAATAAGTAGTGCCTGTCCACAGTGACTCAATAATGATTTATTGAATGACAAATACCTTAAACTTCACCTCTACTTGTTACTCTCCTTAGATATTTAGGACATTGATTAACCACCACTGTTACTAATTAGCCCCACAAATGACTAATTCAAACAGGACAAGCAGGAGAGTTCATTCATAAGACATGACAAAGTCCTCAGGCATCCTAAAGCCTTTACCTGGGCAACATAAGTTCCCTAATTACCTATATAAACTCTACCCCATAGCCCAGTTCTGGAAAAATCAGGGGGGAAAAAAAAAAAAGAAAGAGAGAGATCAGCACCCATAGAACACTGCATGCCACTTTTTTTTCAGCTATTCCTAGCCAGCAAATGGGAAAGCCTTCATTTTTCAGCTTGTTTTTTCACTTTTCCTTGATCATCTATTTTCTTAATGGCGGCTTGGATAGCTTCTTGGTCGCCCAGGAACTGGTGGGGCCCAACAGCATGCAGGTTCTCATCCAGTTCCAGGAGAATGGGGACTCCAGTGGGAAGAGTAATGTTGATAATGTCTTCATCGGAGATACCTGTAGATCAGGAGAGGAACGAACAAGACATTGAAGACAGTGTAAGAGGAAGTTCCGTTCAGTTGTGTAACTGCATGTTTATTTTTTAAAAGGTTTTATTTATTTACTTATTTATTTGAGAGAGAGGGAGAAAGAGAGTGAGCGGAGTGAGGGACAGAGGGAGAGGATCTCAAGCAGACTCCACACTGAGCACGGAGCCTGATGTGGGGTTCGATCCCAGGACCCTGAGACCACGACCTGAGCTGAAATCAAAAGCTGGACGCTTAACCGACTGAGCCACCCAGGTTCCCCACTGCACATTTATTGAGTCCCATATTAGCTGTGTATCTGGAACCATGCCAGATCCTGGGAGGGATTCTAGCTATAGTTCCTGGAAGGAAAAAACTTCCCAGAAGTTAAAAAAAACCTTAGAGATTTGCATCACATCAAATTTTAGGATAGCAGATACCCTTTGGGGCAACCTGTTGTTCCTTCATGTTTCCTATCTAAATCTCATATGTGAACTTTCATAGTAGCATTAGTCATAACAGCAAAAAGTGGAAGCAGCCTAAATGTCCCTCAAGTGATGAAGGGATAAATTAACTATGGTAGCTGCGGCAGAGCCATACAGTGGAATATTATTTCGTAATGAAAAAGAAGTGAGTGCTGATACATGCCAAACATCGTTGAACCTTGAAAACACTATGCTAATGAAAAGAAGCCAGTCACCACGGACTGCATGTTGGATGACTGCATTTATATAGGAAAATCTAGAGTGAAACAAAGAGATTAGTGGTTGCCTAATGCTAGAGGGAATGGAGAAAGTTGGAAGTGACAGCTAGGTATAGGGTTACTTTTGGGAATAATGAAATTGTTCCAAAATTGACTGTGGTGATAGATGGACAATTCTGTACACATACAAAAAGCCACTGAATTGTACTCTTTAAATGGGTGAACTGTATATTATATAAATGATATCTCAATAGGGCTGTTAAAAAATACTAAACAGATCCAGAAAAGTTAAATAAAGCTTCTCAAATCTCAAGACTGCTAAGGCAATAAAATTGGACCTGGGTTTTTTATTCCCAAATCCCAGGACTTCAACCCTGGTTGTCTGTCCAAGGCTACCTCCACGGCAGTCTAGGGAGAGAGGAGAATCTCTGCATCCCTGCTGTGCCCTTGTGAAGGGCTGGGAACTAACTGTTTTCGGGACTGGTAAAGGGCATAAACAGAGTCGTCTGAGCTCTTTGAAACAGCTAACACACTGGGATCACGATGGGCCAGGTTTAGGGGTTGTAGTCTGTGACCTTAGAAAAGAGTTCTAGGCCTCTGGCAAGGGGCTGGAGCACACATGGGACTCTCTTGTTTGACTATGGCCCCAGATCTAACCAGACCTTGACAGGTCCTCTCTTTAGTAGCACCACCCTCAAGCTCACGCCTATGGCTTAGATAACAACCCACTTTTTTGTGGGACCAAATCAAAGAGCCAACTAAACAAAAGCCACGAGAACTAGAATATTTACCCTACAAAGGAAAGAGAGCTCAACAGAAATAGAAACATTTCCAATAAATAAATTAAAGTTGACATTCCACTTTAATGACTACTCAAATCATTCACATGGCAGACTAATTACTTACACATATTTAAAATACCTAGACTGGTTAATAATCAGTCAGTGAGACTTAAGAGACTGAAATTTTAAAATAGCAAATTAGGAAAAACCACAGTGAAGCTATTACTCATTACCCGATTTTGGCTTAAGCCATTCTTCGTCCTGAGAAACTTAAGCAAGAAGAGGTCCTAAGGCTAGAATAATGCATCTGCACTGAATTAAGCCAAACTGAATCAATACTACGTTATGCAATACTGTATTATAAATTCATTAACTGGAACATCATATGAAGGTTAAAATGAGTGAACAGCACGTGCCCTGTCTGATAACGGGCTTAGATTTTTTATCTGGCATCCAAGAATGCAGTCCTCACCCTGCAACTACCCCTCTCTGTCACTCCCCCTCCACAGCCACCCCTTCTTGAACTCCCAACCATTGTCTTTTTTTTTTTTAAGATTTTATTTTATTTATTTATTTGAGAGAGAAAGAGAGTGAGAGAGAGAGCACAAGAGTGGGTAGGGTCAGAGGGAGAAGCAGACTCCCCACCGAGCAGGGAGCCCGATGTGGGACCCGATCCCGGGACTCCAGGATCATGAAATGAGCTGAAGGCAGTCGCTTAACCAACTGAGCCACCCAGAGGCCCTCTTTTTTTTTTTTTTTTAAGTAGGCTCCACAGATATGGAGCCCAGCATGGAGCCCAAGGTAGGGCTTGAACTCATGACCCTGAGATCAAGACCTGCACTGAAGTCAAGAGTCAGAAACTTAGCCGACTGAGCCAGCGAGGTGCCCCTGTCTTTAATCCTTGAACCTTCACATAGGAGCATCTAGGAGTTAACTGCAATCAGTCTAAATGTAAGAAAATTTCTAAGTAAGAAATAATGAAAGTTTATGGTAAGTCAAAGGGGTAACTCGATGCCAATATGGGGAGAAATTCAAACAACTTCATTTTCTGCATATAGGATTAAGTTCAAGAAGTCAAATCTGCACCTCTGAGCCCCAGCCTCCAAGTCAATACAGCAGGAACAGGAACCAGAGACAGATATCAAGATCACCGTACATATACTATGGCACTCACACTTGGCCTTAGAGATGGCTGCGCAAATGCTTGCTTCTCCCGCCAGGATTACAAACTCCTTGAGAACAGGGACCATGTCTCATCCATCCCCGTGTCACCTATATCTTAGAACAGTGCCTTAGCCACTGTGGGAATTTAGAAAATGGTTTGTTCAACTGTAAAGAACCCTGTTATGTGTTGGCTTCCAGGATCCAGAAATCATTTAGCTATATGATCCACTATTACAACTGTATATATTATATAAATCTACTTCTCACATATAAAGACAAGCAATAAAGAATAAAACATTAACTAAAAATTCTAATGCATAAAGCCTATACACGAAAACACTCTGAAGACTTTGCCAGAGGTACGGTCTTGGCCAAATTTCAGAAAGAGATCAAAATGGAGACATAAGCTCCTCAAAAGTAAAGATTTCGTGTGTCCAGTTCTAGAGGCTGTATCCTGCACCAAGAACAGTACCTGAATTGACAGGCCCTCAGCACATAGCTGAAATGAATAAACCTGAACTCTCTGGGCCAATTACATCTAGTCTTGTACTCTTGAAACCTTGATGAAAGATTAGGTTTCCTTTAAAAACCTTACCAAGAAGAGAGTTGAGAAGGCTCTTAGCCTTGAAGAAAAGGTTGTTTATATTTAGCGCTAATAAGCAATTCAAACTAAATTTGTCCTCCGTATATTTTCTTTGATTTCCTCCAAAGGGTTTGCTCAAAATCCTTGAATCTCGGGAAACAGGAGAGAAGATGTCCAGGGAGACAGATCTGTCACAGGACGAGAGCAAACCCCAAATCTTCAGTGCATATTTTTGGAATCTAAGAAAAGAGGGAAACCACTTTGATCAGTTTGTTGGACCGTGAGGTGCCACGCAGGCCCCACGTACCTCTCCCAGGCAAGTAAGTCACAATTCAAACCCCACCGATGGGCGATTCGTGGGGAGAGGTCTGTATTCTATTGCAAAAATAAGAGCTGACACAAGAGACCCTCAATTTCACAGATGATCTGCCTATCTTTAATTAGAATTCCTTAAGGTTTGGATGCTATTATGTGCAACTTAAAGATAGGCTGGGGAGCAACTGGAAAGGGGTTATTTGAATATTGTAACATGATGATAGGATCACAGCCTCTAATTTAGAATAAGGCAGAGAACAGAATCCACTCCACGTTGAATTTTATAGTTAAAATAGCCTACAATTTTTAAAAGTAAAGGTTTTTATAAATCAAGGATACTTCTAATAAGAGAAAACGTAACCGTACCACTGGACAAGCATTTGCTTCGCCGGAGGGAGGCCTGAATTTGCCGCTTCTGAAAATATCCCACTAAAATGTCAAAGGTGATGCACTCCGCAGTCCCGCCCCCACAGCCGCCCCGGCTGACCTGCCCTCCCTGGCTCTCTAATTCTGCCTCAAGGCTTCTCTGCCTCGCCCTGTGTGCCGCTGCACAGTGTTCTTCCGGGATCAAGCCCGTTGTTCATGAGTCTCCTGCATGCCACTCTGATTCCAAACTTGAAACTGCCTAGTCCTGTGCTTGAACCCAGACTAAACAATCCACTTCCGCTGGCAAGATGCAGACTACATCCAACGCTCCAGTTCAGTCCCTGGCTTTTCCTTCAGTGTGGGCCAGCAGGAAACAAACAGGAAGTGACTATGCCAACCACAGAGAAAGAATCACACGCCTGTCTGGAACGCTACAGAACAGGATGCTCTTAGATACTAAGCCTGCGTTAGGAGCTTTCATATGGTGCTGCTCTGGGAGAAATGGGTTGGAATTCTTTGGCCTGGACTTACTAGCACAGCACTGATAATCGTTTAGGCTGCTAAAAATAGGTAAAGCCGTCCCTTAGGTAGGGCATCTTCCTACTATACAATATCTCCTAGGTCTGTCTGAAGTCTTCTTTCTTCTGAAAGTATTAAGAGCTACTCTCAAGTTAAAGGTAATGCAACCCCCCCAGTGATCTACAATTGAAAAGCAGAGATATTAAGTAAGTAATTGACAGGGTAGAGGCCGCCCCGAGCAGGCAAGAAGCATATTCTGGGTGCTGACACGTGGGTCCTGGGTTTGCAAAGCCTGTACAAGAGTGTTGCTCTGAATCAGTAACACTTGCCTCTCTGTACTGTTTGTTCTCCTGGGTTTGACCTACTCCTGGGCGGGCTGGTTGTGAGAAGGAAAACAAGTCAGAGAATTCGGTGGTTAGTGAGGAGAAATCATTCTGAGGCAGAAAAACCTTTACTGGAGGAGCTTACAACCTCCAGGTACAAAGCTTTGTGCTCCCGCAGCTTATAGGTAATTCATGAAGATGGGCTTTGACTGGCGATTCCCTACGCTGTCCATGGTT